GACATCTAGTGGTCAACTGGAGCAACTACATGGAAAAGTTTCGTTTCCCGTCACAAATCAAATCCGTCATGTACCCAGAATGCATCACTTCAGTTTTCCAATAAACAGTTTTAAAATTGCTTTATTGATGCTTCTTTAATGAAAAATCTACAACAAACAAAAGAAAAAGAAAAAGAAGCAGCCGAACTAGCAATCCTCAACAACTTTTTGATTTTTACACCAGGAGCTAAAGGTCTGTTTCAGGAAATCACATCCCCAGCAATCGGTAGTTGTAGGATTAAACTGTACAAGGGTTCATACACCACTAGTTGGCAGTGTTGTACATGTATTGTACATTAATTGTTACCAGCTAGTAAGTGTCAAATTGAACCTGTACTTTAAAATTAGCTTCTGCTAGTTTTTCTATGGCATAAGTGCTTTTGAAGTTGCAGACCTAAATATTTTTATAGGCGCTTTAGAACTTGCGGAGCTAATTTTTGGGTTAGCGCTGCCCACCACTGCTGTGCAGAACATAAAAACAGTATAAAATGTAGCATAAGATAAAAACAAGGTAATCCAGACTTACAATCTGACAAACAAATGTGACGTTGATCTGATTGATGCCTCCAGCAAAAAGCCCAAACGTCAGTCCTGTGTGAAACAGGAAGTTGAGGAGTGTGTGCCAGCCATTCCTGTTGATGTGGATGACTCTGAAAACAACAAATACAAACAAAAATAATAAGATGAAGGTGAGCATGTCCTTTTCTTTTTAAGCAAAACTGCTGAAATATCAGTAATGAATTTTAAAGAAAAACTGCAGTGAGCAACTGGAGGAACACAGATTCACTTGTGGTTCCTGGAATCAGGTTTTCAGGTTGTTTCTGACCATGTTCTCTTCTTCCTGTTTTATTTTGTTGAAAAGTTTTGTTTGTGCTCTTTGTTTCATTTATCTCTGTTTTCACTGACACACCGGGTCTCTGTCAGCCCATTACTCTTCGCTTTTCCTTTCTTTTCTAAAGCGGTGATGCTAACTTGGGTTTTCTCTCCCATTTTGACGTAAAATGTGTTTCCATACCCATCCAATTGTATTCTTGATTCTAATTTACATTCTTTAGTTAAAAACTAAGAAAATGTATAAACTAAACTAATCGCTACATTCTAGACACCTCCAGCTTTGAGTTGATTCAGTTGGACTCAGCTGAACACCAGCGGTCAGTCAGACGGTATTCAGTTGTAGCCATAAGAGAAAAAAGTCATATTTGATCAAATAGACTGTTTGAACGTAATAATAACTATTTTAAAAAGTCAATCTTCTTAGGAATTTTACTCTGGCTTCCCACATGAAGACATGTTGCATTTTCTTTTACACCAACCCGACACATCTTCTCAGTCATCCATCATGATCAGTCAAAAGAAAAGTTATAAAACAAACAGGGTGTGCAGGTTAATGTGCATGTGAACCTAAGCACCAACGAGTCTTCTTAAGCAAGTTTATAAATCTTAGAGCTCCACACTACTTCAAACATTTTGAATTCAGAAAGGCTGAAGCAAAATATCATCAGATTCAAAAGTCCAGTTGTTTTTTTTACACTATTTAAAAAATGTATCTTCTACTTTGATCCTCCATTTAATTACATAATCAAGCACATATAATAAGAGATGTGTCAATACCTGTATTGGGTATCTGTGTGTGGACTTATACCATTACTCATTAAAAAATACCACTTTTATGGTATTTTTTCACTTTTTCATTTTTTTCACTTTTTCTGCATTTCCCTTTCAGTGGTTAGGCAATAGAAGAGGAGTAATGTCAGTATGGAGGGATTTCAAGTTAAAGTAGAAGCACTGGGAGAGTGCAAACCTCCACCAAGTCCAGTTTCCTCCATCCTGTAAGAGTTAACGCACAAAAGCAGAGATGAAACACATTTACTGAATAAGTTCTGACGTAGTGAACATTTAAGCAGCAGTATGATGGGATTTCTTCTCTGTGGAGTCCAATGTGAAAAAAAAAAAAGTCAGACTGGTCACCTGACGTTATTCATGGTCAAACTGGTGTGGGATTAAGCTCCTAAGTTTTCATCAGTCGCATTTCACCATGTAAAACGTCTGTTTTATCTCCTTGTATGAGTTTGTAATGGTTTGACTCTCTTTAGAAAAATAGTTTTCATGGTGCAGTCACGCACTTCCTGGTCACAAAACGTTCTGTAAATGTGCATATTATGGTAAAAATTATTCATCATTAACTGTGGTTTTAACATTACTTTTATAAAGTTTGAAGGCCGTGCTGTCCAATCCAGCTCACTGTTTTTTTTTACAGAAGCCCTGTGAAAGCATCACAGCTTTGCCGATCTCAGAGTGTTAAAAATAAATTCCTGTATCCACATCGTGATCCAGAACATCACCAAAATTTAAAGGTGTGTTCCTTGGCCCAGTACACACATGTGGTAAAAGTGTCATGACAATCTGTCCACAAGGTTTTGAGTAATGTTGTCCACAGACAGAACGACAGACAGACAGACAGACAGACAGACAGACAGACAGACAGACAGACAGACAGACAGACAGACAGGCAGGCAGACAGACGCGACCGAAAACATTACCTCGCCCTTAGCGGAGGTAATAAAACAGACTGTAAAATATGAAAGACCAGTGGTTCCTAAAGTGTGGACAATGCCCCCTAGAGGGCATGTGGTGCGATTGCAGAGGGGCACGATATGATTGGAGATTAAAAAAAAATGCTTGGACATTGCTAGCATAATGAATAGAAGTGAGGTGTCATTTTTGAACAACAAAACGTTTTTTTTTTCCATTCAGGGTGTTGTTCATGTTTTTACCCACAGGGAGGCATTATTTTTATGTATTTATTGATATAAATGAGATCTACGTCAGAGGTCTGCATCTCTGGATTGTTTTGCCTGTTTAGATGGTTCCGTGCTTCAACACACCTGATTCAGATAATTAAATCAGTGTTTTCAGTCAGGTGTGTTGAAGCAGTCAAACAGCTAAAACATGCAGGGCAGTGGGTCACAAAGAACTGGGCTGAAGACTTCTAATCTACATTATTTATTGATCACAGGGTATTTACTGATTGATAGATGAAAGACTGCATTTTCATAGGTCCATAAAAAGGTTCAATATAACTGCAGCACACATCTCATTAATGAAGCCAATGATAAAATAATACTCTTRAATTGTTAATGCTCCACAGAAGACATTTTATTTACCTACAAAGTCTTTATCTAACAGCTAATAACACAACTGTCTCTGCATGAAAAACAACTGATTGGTCAACTGAATGGGAGATAACTCTCTTTCTCTCCTTCCTATGTGTGTATCTGTGGACATGTTTTTTCAGACTGTTTACCTGGTACACACAACTAACTAGCTCTCATCTACAGCCTGAGGAGTTCAGGAGCTGCAGTGGTGCTGCGGCTCTGTCCCAGCTGCTCTTCATGGAGAACAATCTGCAGGACACCTTCAGAGACCGTGAGTCTGCTGAAGATCCTCGTCACATCTCCTCTGACCACAGCTGAATCTGAGAGGAGCTGAACACTGAAGAGAATCCAGACTTTCCTCAGGTACATCACATCTCACTGCACTGACCATGCTCTATAAGAATCTGGTTAAAGGAGGACATTACACCCATTCTGGCTTCCCTCCACTGACTGCCTGTGCATTTTACAGTTTGTTGTACCCCACCCCAGTGTTGTATAAAGTACCACACAGTGATACTTGAAGTACAAGTATCTTACCAAAAATGACTTTGGTAAAAGTTAAAGTCTCCTTTAGGAATATAACTTGAGTAAAAGTGTTAAAG